ATAAAAGGGTTCAGATGTAAAACTTGTGATCAGTCAAGGGTCAGATTCTGGATGCACCCATTGCACAATGATTGCACATTTATGGAGCTGTTCCCATCTTTGTTTTGTGCTTCCCATAAAAAGGAGGATGTAGCAGATCTTTATGAATAGAAGAATGGGGCATGGAATCCATAATTCATGAGAAGTCTAAATGTTTGGGAGATTAGGCATATGATTGAGTTACTACAGAAAATTCAGGATGTAAAGCCTTGTCCAAATGAACAAGATAGTCTAGGACATGTCAGGATCATTTTCCTGTAAGATCCTTTTTCAATCAAATGAATCAGCAACTGAGGCCACTTTCACTAGTTCAGGAATCTGTCACTTGTGTACCATCTAAAGTTAGTTTCTTAACTTGGTCAGCAGCAGTAGACTAGTTTTTCACAATTGAGAATCTAAGTAGAAAGTATTTGGTGCAAGTCAACAATGCATGTGTTATGCTCATTGCTGCTGGATACAGTGAAAGCTGTAGGTAAAATTCCAAGGAATATTTGGGGTGAATTGGTGTTTTCCCAATCTTAATACAAGCATTCTTTCATAGCTGGTAATTTTGGAATATGCAACCTCTAACACTCTTTTGGGCTATATGGGTTCAGTTAAATGCTTGCAACTTTTGAAAATTAAATTAAGTCCTAAGAATATGATAGCAAAGAAGGTGAGGGGGAAATTGAACTCATGACACACAAGTTACAAAGGGGGATCTCATATAATGATTTTTTTTTGAGACTGAGTTTATTTATGAACAGTCAATCCATTTGATTCTGGTTTTCCTTTTTGTATATTCCCATTGTACAGTCCCTTGGTGTGTGGTGCTGATGTAAAGATTACAAAAGTTATCAAATTAATAGAAAATTCTTTCAGAAAAAAAAAATCATCTGAAATCCGTCATACTAGTAAACTGATACATATCTCATAATTTTTTTCAGTAACATATAAAAAGAGATTTTATTTTTTATGATGTAGAGGTATGTAATATATGAAGATTTATATGGAGTAGGGTCATAATTTCCAAGTAGCCCAACTGCTAAAGGTCCAAAGACGTCCTATATATATATATATAACCGCAACATGTGTCTTTCTAGAAGGTTGTAAGCAAAGACAAGAAAGATGACTTGTCTTTTGTATGCATAGCAAAGAAAGGAAGATAAATTTTCTACCTACAAACTAACCCATGGTAGCAGCATCTCCAAATCTCTAAGATGTTGTGGTTAGAGCCTGGTAGAAAGAATGGCACGTCAATTTATTATATTGGCACAAAGATGGACACTTACCATTTCTCAAAGGGCAGCCCAGTCCCAGTGCACGAGACTCCCTCCAATGCAGGGTCTGGAGAGGGACAGATGTATGCAGCCTTACCCATGTACATGCACACAGATTGTTTCCAAGATTTGAACCTGGGTCACCCAGTTTGCAATGGAGCAACCCAACCTTTTCTCAGTTAAACCTAACTACCAGCAAATGGATATGATAAGAATGGCATGACAAATATGTTAAATCATTATTGTCATTCCTATTTCAAATAGCATGTTAGGATATTCAAAGGAATTTGTGAGAAATAGTGGTGGCAATTGGTGTGCTCAAATGGGTCCAACGCAACCCATGTAAACCTGTTTAACCCAAGAAACCCTTGTATCTTCCCTACCTAGACACATCATTCTTGATTAATGCATTGGGATTGGGAACCAATTGACCAGACCTCAACCATTGTTGTAATCCAAGTGTGTGCACCAGTCATGCATGCCACATGTTGCACCACTAATTGATTGAGGTTGCAGCTTGGGATCCAGTGTTTTAAGAGCAAGAAGTGCAAGGATTTCCTAGAGTCTGAACCACAAAGTGCAAGACAAGAGAGACACTTTCTAGAATAAATGCTACTTAAAAGATCAACATAAATTACAATATAAGAATATGAAATTTTAAATTCTAAAAGAATTAGCAAATGGATTGGATCAAAACAGATCATATACCTAATATCCAATTTTGATTCAAATTGAACCTTATCTGTGGGATTCATATCAGACTCGGATCAAACTAGGACTGCAATTGGATATTGAATAAAATTAATACATTAAAATAAAAAATATTTCAAATATTATATGATATTAATATAAAAAATCAAAAATGACTTTATGATATCGAATATCATGATAAAAATGAATTGAAAATTATTTGTATGAAACTTGGCTATGCAAGTACAACTCCACCATCCTTGGAGTTGATGCCATGAACTATTGTTTTTCTGGTTTTGAAGATTTGTAGAAAAGATTGGATCAACTCTGAACTTTTTTGTCAAATATGACTACTTGAGAAATGACACTTAAAAGGTTCAACCACTGTGTCTGGCTCAGATTTGTACCACATAAAGAGAAAAATACCACAATGGATAGGAAAAGGCCTTCGGAGTTTAGAGTTGATTATCAACTTCATCACCATAACTGTTGCTCAATGGACAAGATCATAAAGGATTTTCATGGCATTGTGGTGGACAATGTGATTAGAAAATTGCAAGGTACAGCGAGCAATTCAATACATGCATACTCCATATTAATTTTTCAGGTCCAGTTGGTTCAGGGGAGAAGACAAATTGGATCTGATACATTGGTTCTACCACTGCCAGTTTGATAATCTATGTTAGATTTTTATAGATCGTGGAAGAAAATTAGTAGATAATCGTATGTTTAAGACAAGGGACCTAATGGCCTCTAGAGACTACACAACTTTGCTCTTTTCTTTTGTTTTTCTTTTATCATTAGAGGCCATTCAGTAAGAACATCTTGTGCGGATAGATATTGATATTGTCCCATTCCTTAGTTTATGGCCTAGCTAGGAACAGGATTAGGAGATAAATTCAGGACGGTACTGATAAAAAAAAAATACTGATAAAAAAAATCAGGACTGTGGCTTTGTCTTTCCTAGACCTAAAGTAGTACTTTGAATCAAATGAACAAAAAGCATGTCATGCTATTCTGCATTCCAATAATTCAAGTTCACCTTTGGCATTTACAACTTGGGATGCTACTCTAATTTTTATTTTTGAAAAACATAAAGTAGATCATATTAATAAAACCCATGTACATCAAGGACTTGTACACTGGGAAAATACATCCTTAAGGTTCCTCTCAGTCTATATTGTCCACATCACAACATGACTGGCAGTGGAGCATTCTTAGCTTAGACACTTCAGGTTCCAAACTTCTAATTCAGAAGGAAATCAATCAATAATTCTTCATTGCTTCCTTTCACCCACCCCCTCAGAGCATGCACAACCTTGCAATGGATAAAAAAAATGGTTGACTGTCTCAGGATTCTCCTTGCACAAGATGTAAGTATTGCTTAACAGCTCAACTCCTCTCCTTATCAAATTGTCCATTGTCAAGAGCATTTGTCCAAACCAGGAACAACACCTTAGAGGGAGAAGCAATAGGAAATCATACTAAAGAAGTGGGAAATTGATCAGGCTCAAGATCCCATAATCTGATCGTATAGGGATCTAGCAGAGAGCACTCCTGATTTGTTCCACTTCCATAGCCTCCCATCTTCTTGACCTGCATAGACCTGCATTCTGTGAAGCACAAGGAGCTCGGTTCTCATCAACAGTTCCCAATCGTTTAGATTCTTTGTAATGAGAGGCCTCCACACAGCTCTACCATTAGAAATTTCATAGTTACCTACACCAAATCATTTTTGTCCTGAGCTATATTGTATAGCTAACTAGCTGAGGAAAGCACTCCTTCAAAGCCCTGCACACCATACATCATTCCAATCTGACCTTGTTGCCCTCTCCTATGCTATTTTTAATTCCTTTCTCAAATTCAAGCTTGGATTTCCCAATTCCCTTCTACACAGCACAACCATAAGAGGAAGTCACCTCCCTAGAATCCCATCCCAGCTCACTTCTTCCATACTTAGCCTCAATCACCTCCTTCCAGATGATAAGTCCTCATTGTCAGTGAACAAGTTGTAGAGATCCAGATGGAAAAAAGAGGTGAGTAGAAAGTATTCATCCTCCTTAAAACCTACCAAAGAATCCTTCAACATTTTATCAGCCGATAAGAACTAAAAATGAGTAGACCAGTCTATCTAGGTAACACAAGGAAAGTCAAAAGTAAATTCTCCATATGTATATGGAGAACATTAAGGGATGTTGAATATGGAAAATTTGAACATATACATGCATAGAAACAAAGATAGGAAAATGAAATGAGGTAGAAGTTAAACAGTAATGCTTTCTCACCAGATAGACATTCAGGGATATCCATGATCTGATGATTCATAAGCTTATTTCAATAATGACGAAAGTTAAATTCAGATAGGTTGTTCATAAGGCTATTCCCATCTGACTAAACAAAGCATAACAATTTTTCTAGATCTGTGGCAAAGGGCAAGTGGTTCATGACAGAATAGCAAATAAATCGATCTATTCCTTTTTGAAGTAACGCGAAGATGACTAGTTTGAATACCTCGCTGTATGCCTTGCAGAATCAGTCACTCTTTGTGAACTTGAACCGAATGAAATAGGGGTTTATTTTTCTTTCTTTAAAATTAAGCAAATAGTAATACTTCTATCACCTTCCTAATGTGATCTGGCTACTCAATAGAACTAGAAGAGTGGAATTCTTTGTTGAAGCTAACATGTGATCGCGATTTTGACTAATTTTCTCATTCAAGAATCCATACTTGGGTTACTGGCAGTATAACAAAGTCCACTCACATGTACCACACTATACCACTGTAACATGTCACAATTTTTTCAACAGAAACTGATAATAACTGACAAGATACAGACTTAAGTCTTAAGACCTTCTCGCCAAAAAGGATTAAAAAGAAAAAACTAAACCAGTTTAAGATATAAAGAAGCAAGTACCTAAAAAGCCCTACTCATAACCCATCAAAACAAGAGAATTTGAGAAAGAAAAAGTGGGCAAATCAGAGAAAACCAAATTTCGGGTAAAAAGTCATACCTTGCAAGAGATGAGAGGGATCTGGTGGGATCCGTCTTCGGAGACGACGGTGTAATCAGCCAAGACAACGATGTTGTTCTGGATTTCCTCCGAGACGCACTTCGCTCCTGACTTCGGAATGCTCAACCATACGGCTTGCCCCAGAGGTAAAAGAAGACTAATCCAGCATGCAAGAAGCAAGCTTTTCGGGACGCGCACTGCCATCATTGCGCAACGCACTAATAAAATCTCAGACCCAACAAGCTATCTCTCTTCTCCTCTCTTCTTTCTCTCTCTCTCTCTCTCTAGCGTTCGTTCGTCTGGTCAATGTTAAGAAGAAAACGCGAATTCAGAAGTTGTGAGCCAAGGACTATAGAGGAACCTAGATCGGTTCTTTCTCTCTTCAGTCTCTCCCTCCCATATGAGCCGCGGCCGCCCTATTGTATTTACTAGTGTAGGAAGYCGTGCCCCTCACGGACTCACGATATTAATGGGAATTTCAAGTTTGGTAAGAGAGTAAGAGTCTGTTTGGCTCCCGGAATAGGTGTTTGGAATCGGAACCGAAATGGCCCATTCCGATTCCAACCGTCTGTTTGGTCGGAATGGGATTCCGATTTTTTTTTCTTTATTTTTCTTTTTTGGGAAGGAATTTTCCTATATGGAGAATGGCCATTTCAACCTCCCCTTAGGGAATGGGGTTCCTATTTTAGAGTCTTTCAAGTAAAGAATTTATAACAAAAATAAATCAAAACCCTAATATTAATAAAACAAAATATTATTAAATTAATATAAGATAATTTATGTAAAACATAGGGTCTCAAATTGGACTGTGGATCTCCTGCTCACACAAACTTTGCCCACGTTTATCGCAGCCACACATGGAGAACATCTCATCCTCTACRTAGTATTATGTAGGGGGAGATGTTCCTAATTCACGGGGGGTAGTGTGTTGTGGGTAGAGGTGGGCAGAGTTCTTGTGGACAGGAGATCCAGATTCCTCAGATTGTCTGTTTGGAATCTGAGTTTGATCCTATTAAGGGTAATATCAAAATCATTTTTAATTTATTATATTAAAACTATATAATATTTTTATTAATTTTAGTTTAATTTATTTACACTTTTCAATATCCATTGTAATCTGAATTCCATTTAAATTCAAATTAATCTAATGAATAAGATCTTATTCAAATTCAAAAATAAATAAATCAAATTTTAACCAACCTACTTCTAACCCAATTCCATTTGTTAGATACCCTACTTTTGTGTGGTTTTTTAAATTTCTAAAACCCCCAACTACCTTTATATTATTATTTATGATCATTTTGTTTTGTTTTAACTTACTTTTCCTTAACTCTGTTAATGGTATCTGGAATTCTCAATTCATCTATTCAAATTTTGAGCCCACTATCGCCTCTTAGATTCTTAGTATTAAGCTTCCTGCTAATGCTCAATTTCTACAAGATCGAGTGATTTGGAAATTTATGCCACATTGTCACAAGTGACCATTTTGTTGCACCTTCAAGTGCCATCACCACGCCCACAACATGCCATCCGAGTGTCCAAGTGTGTGTCTTGGGTGAGTCATTGCATGTATTTTGTATGGGGGGATTGCCAATGGCATTATTGTAATTCTGTAATATGAATTTTCACCTTTTTGATGTTTCTTATTGTCACTCCCTCAAAAGTTTAACGTACTCTTTGAGGGGAGGTAGATAGTCGAGTGAGTCAATAGCGTGTAAAGGTTAAGCACGAGATCCCCTTGACACTGAACTGTGTGCTTGTGCTTACCATCAATCAATGCAATACAAGTAGCMTTTTGACTAATTTGTGTGCCTTTTTGTTGCCTTTTGTGTGTTGTTGATTGCATTCGTAAGCTTTCTCGACCCCATCGAGTGCCGCAAGGGGCCTTGTTGAATAGCCCCGTGACAGTTGGTATCAGAGCAGGAGCTCATTTCTAGCCATTCGACCCGCGACGTGAGTGACAGCATGAAGCACAACAGAGACATCGTGGAGGAGATCAAGCATGGACTCTCCATATCCCATGAGCCTGATGATGCACCCGCCGACGACATCGGCAAGGACAACGCACCAAAGCCTAGCAAACGTGAGAAATCCACCAACAAGCATGCAGCCATTGACTTGCGCATGCTACGTTGCGAGGCCACTGTAGGTGAGATGCGAGATTCGGTAAACGAGCTACACCAAAACATGGAGGCCATGGAGAGTACACTGGTGGAAGTGGTAGGCCACCTAAGCGGAGTCATGAATGTGGTCTGCGACATACTTAATGGCATGCTGAAGGAAATCTGCAGCACCGTGCGCCAACAAGAAGGAAGCTCGTCCAACTCGCATATCCAAGACAAGCTTGACAGCTTTCGAGCCCAACTCGATGAGATGAAGAGAGAGTGGGCAATGTGGAGAAGAACCACCTCCACATCAATGGCCACTCAGGCCGAACTTAATGAGATGAAGACTGAATGGGCAGCTTTGAAGTCCGCCCTAAACACCTCTGCTGATGTGCAAGCGCAACTTGAGGAAATCAAGGGGGAATACGCCATCATAAAGAGAGCAATTGCCAACCTGGCCAGCACCTCAGCCTTGCACACTCTTTCCTGCATCAAGATCCGGGAGCCAACTCCCTATTCGGGCACTCGTGATGCACGAAAGCTCGACAACTTCTTGTGGCAAATGGAACAATACCTTACTGCAGCCAATGTGGTCGATGAAAGGACTCAGGTACGCACAACTACAATGTATTTAACTGATACAACTACATTGTGGTGGTGTAGAAAGTGTGTTGATATAGAACGTGGTACATGCACCATTCAATCATGGGTCGATTTTAAGCGTGAGTTGAAGAAACAATTCTATCCAGAGAATATGGAGTTCCTTGCCCGCCAAAGGATGAAGTCCCTCAAGCATGAAGACTCGCTCCATGAGTATCTGAAGGAATTCTCTGCTCTCACATTAGAAGTCACCGACATGTCAGATAAATGCATGCTATTCAACTTCATGGATGGCCTAAAGCCTTGGGCCAAGCTCGAGCTCCAGCGATGCAATGTTCAAGACCTTGCCTCTGCCATGGCCATGGCCGAACAACTTAGTGAACTGAGATTGTCGGATGATGAAGGGACCAAGCCAGCCAGCCCACGTGTTGCACACTTGAATGGGGGAGAWAGACAACCAAGTCCCCCGAGAGAGAAGCAACCCTATCACAACTAGCTAGCACAGTACCAGAAGGGAAAGCACTCACAAGGAGGTCGCAACTCCTACAACAACAGGTATCAAGGTAGACCAACACGTCCACCTACATGTTACATTTGTGGGGAGGAACACTTGACAAGACATTGCCCGAAGAGGGAGAAGCTAAATGCCCTCATTGCCAAGTTGAGTGATGACGGGCATAGTGATGGGGAGCGGAGTACACAGGCACCGAGAGTGGGCGCCCTACAACTTTTCAATGCTATGATGAAGAAAGGGGCTACCTCCAAACAACCCGCCTTAGTTAAGAGAGGACTGAGGTATGTTGATGTAACCCTTGGCGGGAGGCCAACTAGAGCCCTAGTTGACATGGGGACCACTCACAACTTCATATCCGTTGCGGAGGCCAAGAGACTAAACTTGGCCACCTCCAAAGAGCCCAGTTGTCTCAAAGCAGTTAACACAAGTGCCAAACCTACTGAAGGCATGGCTCGCCAAGTAAGACTACAACTCGACACCTGGGATGGAGAGATTGACCTCTCCGTTGTTCACATGGATGACTTCAATGTTGTCCTCGGAATGGACTTCATGATACAGACAAAAGCGGTACCGACGCCTCACCTTGACAATCTGATGATCTTGGATGAGCAATCACCTTTGCATGGTCAACATGAGCGCCTCGACTACTACCAAGAAGAAGCAAGTCTCAGCCTTGCAACTCCAACACCAACCTCAGCCTCAAGGGATGACAAAGAGATCTACAACCACCACCGCTATTGCAACCAGAAGTGATCGTAGCGACTCCAGGAATAAGTCAGCGCCAACGTCAGTGCCTACACCGCCACAACACTAGTAACAGCAACGAAAGCCACCTTTGTAGCAGAAGCCGCATATGCCCACAACTGATGGGCCCAAGATAAGACCCAAGGCCAACCTCAACTATAACCGTACCCACTACCTCAATCATTAGGGAGAGCGAGTGTCACCCAAGCAATATAGGAATCACCTTCTCACCCCGCCTCAAGCTAAACCACGTAGTAGCACAGTGAGCAGCCACCCTTGGGCAAAAATGCAAGGGAACCAATACCCAAAAAATCCAAACCATCATTTTCACCCAGCCTTAGCCACCCAATTTCCTACCACCACTGGGAAACGTCCAAAATCCTACCTTGAAGCAGCCAGGCAGGGAACTAACTTTGGGACTATCCATAGGTTTTCCCACCATCAAGGGCATCCACAAAGCCATCCACCCAACCTCTTATCCGGGCCTTGGAAGAAACCCTACTCGTGGAGCAGTTGAAGAACCTTCCTTCACCAACAAGAAGTTCAACCCACAAGCAGAAGTTGGTCTTCGAGGACGAAGACGGAATTGAGTGGGGGAGAATGTCACAAGTGACCATTTTGCCACGCCTTCAAGTGCCATCACCATGCCCACAACATGCCATCCGAGTGTCCAAGTGTGTGTCTTGGGTGGGTCATTGCATGTATTTTGTATGGGGGGGTTGCCAATGGCATTATTGCAATTCTGTAATATGATTTATCACTTTTTTTATGTTTCTTATTGTCATTCCCCCAAAAGCTTAACATACTCTTTGAGGGGAGGTAGGTAGTCAAGTGAGTTAATAGCRTGCAAAGGTTAAGCACGAGATTCCCTCGACGCTGAACTGTGTGTTTGTGCTTACCATCAATCAATGCAATACAAATAGCCTTTTGACTAATTTGTGTGCCTTTTTGTTGCCTTCTGTGTGTTGTTGCTTGAATTCGTAGGCTTTCTCGACCCCATCGAGTGCCGCACGGGGCCTTATTGAATAGCCTCGTGACAACATGGCCCTTTCACTTGTGCTTCTGCTTATAAGCTTCTTAGCGATGGAGTAGCTGAAACTTCCTCAAGTCATATAGCTTGCGGTGGCATCTCTTGGAAAGACTTTTGGAACCTTAAAGAAATCACTCCTCGAATCCAAGTTTTCATATGGCATTGCCTTAAAGGCATTTTACCTTTAAAAGTGTCCTTAGCCAAAATCTCTAAGTAAATTGACAGATCTTATCCTTTATGTCTTTCTGAGGAAGAGGATGCAAATCATGTATTCATCCATTGCCAAGCTGTAAGACCAATTTGGTTTGGTTCTTGCTTAGCCATGTGCACGGAGGATAAACCAGACTAGTCTCTTATCGGTTGGATGCCATTTTGCTGGGAATATAGTAGAGATAATCCAATGGATGATCTTGGTCTTTTCAGC